CCCCAAGTAACACCTCTCTGGGACATGCCTCGGCATTTATTGTTTTCTGCCAGGAGCATAAAAAAGCCCCGTACACATTTCTCCTATGTTCCCCCGCTTCTTAAATTTTTTCGTTCACAATTAAAGCTCTGCTTCCTTTTTCAGATTTTCCTAATAAAATTATTTTTTCTGACATTTACTAGCTCTCAGTACAGTGCTACCCACATTCTTCTCTGTGCCCTGTTTTTAATTCTTTAATTTCTAAATTAAAAAAAAAAACACAGGGTTACTGTGCAATAAAAAGCACATGAAAGCACTTAGCACAATGTCTGCTGTATAGTAGGTGCTCAATAAATTTGTGTTAGATCTGAGAATTAAAAGCAGCAAGTGATTACGTTCATAGTTCCCCCTTGAGTTAAAGGGAAAAGAGAAAAAAACTGTATAGTCAAACCTTGACTCGATTCTACCTTCTCCAAATGACTCCCCATTGCTCTGTCAGTAACATTTAGTAGGATGGAGGGCCTGCTCCAAAAACACCCCAGCCATGAAGTATCTCTCCTCCAGCCTCTTGTGATCACTCAGATGCAACAAAAAACATAGCTCAGACACCAAACAATAGCTCAAAGCCACGCAGAGGGATGGATGCATCCAAATGGCATCACAGCCTTCAAGTTCAGCCAGGTTTGAATATATTTCCTTGCTCAAGGACTGTTGACCAGAAGAAAGAGATCCTTTCATGGGGAATTCCTCCCAGCCGTCAGCAAAATGCACAGCATTACTATGCTCTGGGCTCTAGGGATTCACAGAAGAAAAGACAAGGTGTCCTCTCCGCTGTACCTCACAGGTGGTACAGAAGGGGTGGTTATAATATCAAGTGGCAGATGCTAAGACGGAGATGCATCTGGGCAACAATTGGATAGGATCTAAGACCACCTGGCAGAGATCAAAAAAGCTTCCCAGGAATACTTAAGCTGAGTGAAAATTTGCTACACAGAAACCAAACTATGCTACCTCAATCATGCGTTGCCCGTGATTTCTCTGTGCTTTATTCCCCTCTCCTCTCCGGCTGCACTATTTCTTTTCTTATCTTTGAGGCCAAGTGTCCATGCCTCCTTCTCTCTGTCACAGCCAATTGCCCCAGCCCAGAGGACTTCCTCCCTGAAAGATCTCCATACTTCCAAAGTTCCAGCTGCTATCCTGATTTCAAAGCTACGTCCTTGTACCTTCTGAGCTCTTCAAAGTCAAGATCCATGCCCGGGGTTGCTCATCACTTTCTGTGCGGCACAAAGCACCCCGCCTGGTATCCAGTAAGCACTTCTGCAAATACGCAACCACTGATTAAGCATCCCAACAACTAGCATTTCATGAACTGATCCTGTGTCCGGGTATTTTTTTGGTTCAGAAAACATGGCCTGCAATTACGGCACCGAGAGGCAGACAGGTGATTTATAATCCAGCTTGGGCTGCTCCCCTCCTGACCCCCATCCTCACAAATGTGTACTCACCTTGGAAAAGTTACTTATGCTGCCTAGACCTCCATTTCTTCACCTGCTTGTTTCTTTCTGTGAAGTGGGGGGTGGCAGGGGTAGGGAAGATGAAGGTCACTTTTTTCAAAGTGTCATAAAAATTAAATGAGATTTTGAATGAAAGATTTTTAACACACTGCCTGGAACATAGCCATTAATATTACTGGGATTAATGTTAATTACTGCTGTGTGTGTGTGTGTGTGTGTTTCACCTTAACCAAACTGCAAAGACCCTTGAGAACTGAAATTCTTTTACATATTTACTTGTATTTCTCAGAACACCCAACACAGGCTGTACAGGAAGTAAGATTCCTAATAAATGTTAATTGACCAGCTGGTTTAAAAGCCCAGCCACTACTTAGGACTTGAATAAAAGGGAGCCACTGATGCTAGACTGGGGAAATGTCCCCTCCTTCCTTGGGGAATGAGCTTTCAAGGGTGAGTCCTGACCAAAATAAGGATATTGTGCTAGAATTTTCTTACCCTTATACAGTCTGTTAACAGGTAAATCTGGAGTACCTGTCCTAAACCAGGCCTTGACTGAGGTACTGAAGCTGCATTTTGAGACAAAAAAGATCAAATCCCTGCCTTCCTACAGCTTGAATTTTGGTGGGGGTGACCAACAAGCCACACAAGAAGTTGCTTGTGGCAACTTGTTCAGAAGAAAAGTAAAACAGGATAAACAGTCAGAAAGAAGTTGCATTTCACATACAGCTAGGGAAGGATTTTCTAAAATGATGGGATTTGAACACAGACCTTCAGGTGAGACCTCAAGCCAAGTGAATAATCTGCATCCCAAACACAGTGCAAGAGAAGAGGGCCGAGCTGGGACTGTGCTTGACAGCTCCGGGGAGAGCGAGGAAGCCTTAGGGGCTGGGGCACATGAGTGCCTGGGTGGGGGGGACAGTGAGGTCAGAGCAGAGGTGAGGGCGGAGAGACAAGAGCAGAGTGGGAGGGAACGGGGAGCTCTGGCACTCCAGGTGTGTTTCAAAAATAGAGACAAGACAATTTGCTTTGGGAATGATGGTACAGTGTGAAACAAAGAGAAGAGCCAAGACTCCAAAGTATACGCCCTGAAAAATTGGAAGAAAGAAACTGAGAAGAAAAAAATGTGTGAAGGGGAATGACTAGAAACCAGATGTTTAATTTTAGAATGGAAAATCTGGCATATTTATGAGATACCCATGTTGAGATGTCAAGTAGGCAGTTGGAGATAAATAAGTCTGGGGTAGAGAGGAGTGATCTGGGCTAATAATTAAGACATATGAGTGGCATTTAAAAGCAGGGGCCTGATGAGATCAGAAAAGGAAGCAGTGAGGGCAGAGATGGGAAGAAATCCAAGGGCTCTTCCATATTTGGAGAGATCGTGAACACAAGCCACAACCAGGAAAGGCTCCTGAGAAGTAGCACCCACTGAGGGAGAAGATACAAAGGAGCTCAGCGCTCCGTCCTCCACATAGTTCTGCTCCAACTAGAGCCCCTCCTCCTCCCCCTGCTGCACACTATTCACTGGCTTTGCTGCATGGCTTCCATCCAGCTTCTAAATCTCAGCCTTTGTACCAGTTTCACAAAGAGGACTTCCCTGGTCCCCAATATACTGTCCCCCTTTTCATATCATGTTGCTCTTTACCTTCTTGACACTATGTGTATGAATCCATGTGTCTATCTCGGTGTGAATATAATTGTGCATAGCAATTTGCATCATTCCATGTGTGGTTACATGTATATACAATGCACATACTAGACTATTGGCTACCTGTATGCAAGGTCTCTGTCTAATTCCATTTGCCCCAGAGCACATTTGTTGGACTAATGCAAGAATAAACACAGGCCTTGGGCTGGGTGTACCTTATTCACTCCCTCACTTCAACTCAATAGCAACACTGTGATGCTTATAGAATTAGCCCACTTTATAGACACAAAACTGAAGATGAGGAAGCTGAGTAACTTGGCAAAGCCCACCTTGCGAACAAGCAACTATACCAGGATTGAAAAGAAACCCAAGTCTATCTAATTCAAAACAGATGCTTTTTCCATATTTACTGTTATGCCTGCACAGGAAGAATTCGGTAAATATTTGACATTGGTCTGCTTAGAGACTGACTGATTAAAAACGGTGGAAGAAGAGGGGAGACTTAACAAGCTTGAACCTCACATTCCCAATGCACTTTCCTACCTCTCCCTACTTTCTCCCCCATTACGTCCCATTCGTACCTCTCAGCTGTTCACATCTGTCTAAGCTGATTAGTCTCCATGTGTGCCCACTCCACAGCCACTTTCTGCTCCTCTCTAGACTGTTCTGGGCCCCTGCAGGGTGTGCCCATGTGGACCACATTGGCCCATCTGGCTTCCTTGTCTTTTGCCTTCAGGGTGGATTCAGCCAAGGAAAGGCACCTGCAGGAGGCTGGCAGGTGAGAAGAGAGGGAGGTTAGGCTTTGTCTTTCCACTCCCCCCCTTTCTTCCTGCAGGCCTGGGGCCCACATTTCCATCAGGGGTTCTGTCTCTTGTGCCCTCAGCTGTTGGACAACCCCCACCCCATGCCTTTGCCAGCCCATTGCTCAGGTCACTGGAGGAATTCATGCAGTGGTCCCCTGTGCTTGCTCCTTGGAGCCCCAGGTCCTAACAGCTTCTTACTGCTTACTGCTAGTCTCTGGCTGTCTCGCTGTGCTGTGTTGGTTTCCTTAGCCTCGAACATCCCTCTGACAGAGTCCCTTCACTTAGTTCCACTGGGATTCCAGCGAGAGCCAACCCTCTGCTCTGGGCCTGGACTCTGCCTTATACAAGGCCACAGTGCCTTCTTTCTGGGCACTGTCCTGCTCTGGCCCCAACCCCTTATGGCCTCCTGCACAGTCAGGCTCTCATGAAGACCACTGTGCTGCACCCACTCTGATTTTATAGCCATCCAGTCCCATAAAAATCAATGGAACAAAAACCCAGAGATTCGATCACACCTGAGACATTTCCCATAACTGCCCTGAAGTTGTCCTGGATCTCCTGGGGTAGAACTTCAAATAGAGGATAAAAAATAAAAAACAATTTGACATCCAGGACAGGTGGTAATTTCTATCTTTTCCCCAACTGGATGAAAAATGAGAAGCTCAGCCTATCTAAAGACGGTGATGATGCTGCACTGCTTGCATAAACGTTTTCGAAACCCCAGTTCCCAAGCATGCAGGAAGGAGCCCGCACCATAAATCAGAGCCTGGTCAGAATGAAAAGTTAGGGGGACAGGCACCCATGCCATGCGCCCTGCCTGGACACACTCACAAAAGGACGCTTGGTAAGCACAGTTGATGACAAAGTGATTTGTAGGATTTATGTAAACACACTCAGCACCTTGCTCTGCACATTGATCTGACATTGAGTGATTAACTGGTTGCATAAGCTAATATTTATACATGACTTGCAATCGTGCAATGCAAATTGGCCCCCATTTATCATGAAATCAGAGACTTTGAAAAGGAAAGCAGAGTCCAGGGACCTTCTCTTTCTACCCCCACATGCTGTAGATGAGGAAACGAAAGCAGAGAAGGACAGTGATGTCTCTCAGGCGGGAAGAGTAAGTACTAAGGGCACCTGCCCCCCCCCATTACACTCCTTTTTCTGTTATATTTTGCTGTTTTCCACTTGTTCTTGGGGAACAAGGTGCCTAATGTTTTTGAAGGCCAGAATAATATTAAGTTGCATTTCTTGAGCTATCACCCTATGCCAGGCAGACACTCAGATCCTAATGGAGTAAATGGTCTAACGCTGCCAGCATCACTATGAGACTGATGCCAGTATTAGGACTTTTGATACGGACTGAGAGCCTGATCCTGGACCCTCACTGCCTGGGTTCACACTGGCTCCACTCTTCACGAGCTGCCTGACTGTTCTGTTTCCATTTCCACATCCATGAAATGGCAGTAATGACAACACCTACCTCACAGGGTGGTTGCAAAATTACATTAATCAATCCAAATAAAGTGGCGACAGTGATCTCTACAACATACTGAGCATCACAGAAGATGGTCCCCGTTTTGTTAACTATGTTCTCCCTTTTATAGATTAAAAGGGAAAAAAGACAGATATTTTAAAATCCTGCTCAAGAACACATGAAAACAGATCTGGCTGGTGTAGCTCAGTGGGTTGAGTGCTGGCCTGTGAACCAAAGGGTCTCTGGTTCAATTCCCAGTCAGGGCACCTGCCTGGGTTGCGGGCCAGGTCCCCAGTGAGGGGTGTGAAAGAGGCAACTACACACTGATGTTTCTCTCCTTCCCTGTCTTCTTCCCTTCCCCCTCTTTAAAAATAAATAAATAAAATCTTTTCTTAAAAAAAGCATATGAACACACAAGGTTTCTAAGGGACAGAGCTAGGTCTCAGCCCAGGCCTTCTCATTGCAGAGCCAACACTCACACCGTCACTGTTCTCACGGATGCCAGGCAGTAGAACTCTCCGTAATGAAGCAAAGGTCTACAGCTGTGCTAACCAACGTGGTGGGCACCGGCCACGCTGAGCACTTAAAATGTACTAGCGAATGTACTAGTGAAGCTGAGGAATGGAATTATTTTCTTTATTTATAATTAATTTAATTTCACTTACAGCCACGTGTGGTTAGTGATTACTGTGTCAAACAGCCCATCTCCTCACTACCTGGTTTGTTTTGTGGTCCTTATTCCCCAGCTAAATGCCTATGGGTGGCACTCTGTGGCACTCTCTAGCGTATACACCCTTAGTCCCAGCCTTCTAACATACTGCCTTCTTGGCTCTGTCCTCAGTAAAGGATTATTCAGCTAAGATGAACTCATGAACACCTGCAGGATGAATAAAGAAGGAAATGAATGAAAATCTCATCTCAGCCAGGTTGTGAAATGGCTCCATGTAAAGCAGGGTGGGTCTCCTGGTCTCCATCCTTTATCATAAGGCAGAGACCCCATTCCCCAGCCTGCAGCCTTCGAGCTTTTGTCTGCTCTCAGGAGAGTCCAGAGGGGAAAACTCAGAGACCTGTCATCTAGGTCCTACCTGGGCACACATCCTCAGCATCTGGAAGAGAATTTGGAACACACACATATTTTGTTGCTGGCAGTCACATTCTCCCCATGTGCCCAAGGAAACTGCAAGAACCACTCAAAACTGGTTTCACCGTGGGACCTGAAAACGTAAGATGCCACACTGTGGAGTCTTGACCAGCCTCCGTCTCAATCCCAGCTCTGTTGTTTCTAGCTGCGATACCTTGGGCCATAACAAACCTCTTAAGGCTTACGTGCCTCATCTTCAAAATCAAACAACAGTACCCCCTTCCAAAGGATTGAGAGACAACAAGCGTGAAGAGCTTAGCATAGCCCCCAATATATTGCATGTGTTCTTGAAAGAATGTTCGACCTCTCCCTACAAGGCTAAAGTTACCACGACCACCGCCTTTAACTGCTCTGTTCCTAAGGGACCCTTCTTTCTGATGTTTTTTGCCTGAGGGGTTTCTGTAGGCAACTTCCCAAAGCAAAATTACATACAAAGGGTAAGTAAGCTCAAAACTGGACCTGATCCCATATTGTTGCATACATTTTCTGAATAGGAAGTGCAATTTCAAGGAAATTTTGGATAATCACCATCACCGTCAAAAAGCACTTAAGCGATTATTTGTGAGTGGTGCCGAAGGAAGAAAACAGGATCGCACAGCCCCTGCCCTCCAAGCCCACTTCAAACAATCACTTAGACACAATCTGTTTGTTTAGAAAAGTCCAGTGATTGTCATTTCAGCCCTTACCCCTCTAATAGCATTAAATTATTGTCCAAATTTTGACAAATGTTTCTTTTCTAAAATCCATGGTATTTCTCATTCTTTGTTTGTTTTTTTTCCTCCTTCCAAGAACATTCTTCCTTTGCCTCCTTTGCTGTTCTGCTGTTTACTGGCTGTGTGACTTCTGAAAACTTACCTAACCATCCTGAACCTTGGTATCAACCACAGAATCAAGGTAATGATACCTACCTTATAGGGTTAGTTTGAAGATTATATAGGAGAGACAGAAAGGCCACCACTGGATGGGACCTCATCTCCCAACAAACATTATTACATGATAAATAAAGTAAAACTTAAAATCTTAAAATAATTTCTGAGCTACAGAGTAAATACCTGCATGCCAAAATCAAATTAAGAACTTAAAACCAAACTGGTAAGTAGGAACTGACTCAATCATAATCCACGGTGTTTGTGAAGGGAACCAAGTGTAGATTCTAGAATCCACATAAGGAAAGCATTTTTTGTCCTATGCCCTACAAGGTAAATAACTGGAAATAGCCCACACATAAAGTTTGAAGTGTTATCAGATACTTGAGGCCTTGAAATAGGGTAGCCACTATTGGGGCAAACAGCAACAAATTGCCTTCAGACTAGAGCTTTGGATTCAGGTGGGGGCAGGTGGGAATGATCACTCAAGAGAAAACAGTACCCCAGGCTATGGATCTGGAGTCTGAATTCATACAACCTGCCTGATGCAGAAATCCAGGGTAGATACAAATGAATAAATGTGCCCATGTCCATTGATGCTATTTATGCTCCTAGGGTTCAAGCAGAATTGAATGAAAAATCTCAATCCAGGGCACCCTGTGAACTAGACAAGTTCTCAGAAAGGTGAGCTAACACTTAACATGCACACATAACTACACACAAACACACACCACTATGAGGTTTGAAATTAATGAAATTAATGAATAAATTAGAAAGAGGCTAGAATAATAAAGTTAGCCTAAATAAAACTCATAGCCCAATGCTTAGTATATATTAGGTATTCAGTGGCTCTTATTGACCAAGCTGTCTTGTTCTATGCCCTAAATACTAGTTCCAAGCATCTGTCCTTGTATCTTTGTTGATTTGGGACATTTACTTTTGTTTCTGTTTTCTTCCTTCCTTCCTTCCTCCATCCCTCTCTTTCTTTCATTCATTCACTTACTCATTCATTCTCTCTTTCATTCACTCAGCAGGGGAATACATGATCAGAGCTGACCTTCACAAAGACTATACTTTATGTGACCAAAATACTTATTCATTCACCACTGACAAAAAAAGGATTTAAAAAACCAGAGGCAATAATGGAGACACTGGGACCTAGAAAGAGGCAGGCAGTCTAAGGGAAAGGTAATTCATCTACTGTCACAAGAGGGTGGCCTTCCGGTAAAATAAAGTATGAGAGAAGAAGCTAATGGGGAAAATCAAGGAGCCACTAAGGAATCTACAGCTCCACTTGTGGACTCTAATGAACTGGACCCATGGCTTGACTCCAAAGTTGAGGAGCATAACGTATACCTCCAAACTTTCTGTGTGCGTTTAAACAGCCAACAGTCCGACCACTGGGGCATGAACCCTCCAGCCTTCTCTTTACACAGCAGGGCTGTAGTTCAAGTTTTCAGAAATTATCCTGTGGAGCAAGAGGTGTTTATCCTGAACAGGACAAGAGTGATACAACAAGTACTAAAGCTAAGTCACCTATTTGAAGAGTTTTCATAAGGAGGCAGAGAGACTTGTTGTAGATTTTAGAGGTCAGAATGTTGGAATGAGGTAGTGATAAAAGAGCTATTTTAGTGCAATGGTAGACGAAAATAGGAAGTTTTTTTTTTATGTGTAAGGCCTTAGCTAGTAATCAGAATTCTCCAAAATCAGAATTGGCTGCTTTGAGAAACCCAGCTCGCTGAAAATGGAAATGTGTAAACACAAGCTATGTGCCTCCTGGTCAGAGCAAATATAGGAAGGATTGGGGACTTGAACTAAAACCTGTCCAGTTCAAAGAATCTATAAAAGTTAAGGAAATAGCCCTGGCTGGTGTGGCTCAGTGGATTAAGTGCGGGCTGCAAACAAAAGGGTCGTTGGTTTGATTCCCAGTCAAGGCACATGCCTGGGTTGTAGGCCAGGTCCCCAGGGGGGGGGGGGTGTGAAAGAGGCAACCACACACTGATGTTTCTCTCCCTGTCTCACTCCCTCCCTTCCTTTCTCTCTAAAAATGAATAAATTAAATCTTTTTTAAAAAGGTTAAGAAAATAAAAAGTGGAGAGGTTGAAAGCAGAAGCAAAAACAAATATAAAAAATATTTCCCAAGAGTATATAAAATAAATTTCATACCTAGAATTATTCATTAAAACAAAGATAAGTTTAATTAAATAAATGATTATAAAGATAATCATTTTTATATGATTATCCCCCCCTTCAGTTTTATAACAAAGTATGAGTGCACACATACACACAAGCTATCTGAGGAACGCCACCAGCTGAGGCTGGCACAATTGAAATGCTAAAAATGTCATAGTTCGCACACTGTCATAACTTCCCTCCTCTGTGTGTATTTCCATGATAAAGAGAAAGCTCTGAATAATCTGAGCATTGCTGTCTGCCATGCAGTAATGAGAGAACATGGGCCCTGATGAATTGCAAATGGAGTCAGAGCCCCAGCTTGTGACTTGAGGAGCCAAGACAGACCAGTACAGACCTCCACACTCCATTGTAATCAACGCCTGATGATGCTGTCCTCAATGATATATGGTTCCATTAGCCAACTAGTATCTGGTTGGTCTTCTTTGCCTGAGACCCCCAGCCTTTTTAGTTCTGAGTCTGGACAACTGAGTATTAAGGAAACTGAAAGTTCAAAGAATCTTGAAAGATAACTTCACCTAAGAGGAAATACCCCTTGAAGTCTTGGAACAGTTAAAAATCAAAGTAGCAAAAGAAGAGATTTTAAAAATAAGTAAATAACTGCTTTGAAAGTGAAGGAAATCTGGTTAGTTCATCCAGTTCAGACACCAAAACTCATGAAAATTGATGTCATCTGCTCAGCCCTGGGGCTTAAGAGGAGACAGAGGTGGTTTATTCCACGTAGAGATTTAACAATGAAAAGGGACTTAGCATATTTATATGTCCTATCCCATAGGATTAGCATAAAATGTCTGTGAGCTTCCCATCGTTATTCTCATTCTACAACAATGAAGTAGGTTCGGAGAGGTTAAGCCACCCACTCCAGGTAACCTGTCTGGGAACAAGAAAAACATGGAATAAAATCCATACCTTTTGAGTCCAAGTCTCTTTCCAGAACCTAGCACCATGTCCCTCAAGAAAGTCCTCTTTCAGCTGGCTATTCACTGTGAGAGGTCCTCTAAACTGTACATTCTTCTTAAATGAGCATTTTTTAAATCACAACTGATACCAAGAACGTATTAGGCATCTAGTAAGTACCTAGTAGTTTTCTTTCTTTGGTGAACCTCATCATCTAAGCTTCAGCTCACTTCCTCCCCCAATATTCATCAAAGACCTTTCCCTGCCTTGGATGGTGTGGCTCTGTTGGTTGGAGCATTGTCCAGAATGCCAAAAGGTTGGGGTTCAATCCCCAATCAGGACACATACCTGTATTGCAAGTTTTATCCCCTGGCTGGGGTGTGTATGGGATCAGCCAATCGATGTTTCTATCTCACATCGATGTTTCTTTCTCTCTCTCTATCTCTCTGTCTCTCTCTCTCTCCACCCCAACCTTCTAATATCTCTAATATCAATAAACATATTTTTTAAAAAGATCCTTCTCCGCTGGTGGTCTCAGAACAATCACCAATCCTTAAGGTGCCAAAAACACCATATGTAACAAAGGGTTTAGAACTTTTCCCTCCCAGATGATCAAACCACTCCAGGAAGGTCTGTATCTGATAGATTATTCAGTCACAGAAGTGCTATATACAGTTATTTAAATCTTCAAGTCCTCAGTAAAGGTTGCAGAATGGAAAAGTAGGCTCTGGCATAAGGAAATTAGGGTCTCGTTACACGGCCAGGATGTACACATGTAACAGACATTGAAGTAGATCATTAAATGCTGAACTGTGTGCCCCAGATTTTAACTGTTGTACAGATCATCCCCAAGAAACAGTCTCCAGAAAGCGAAGCACACATACATCTCCCTCATCCCATCTCTGGGATCCTTCTCCCAAGGATGCCTCAAGGAATGGGAGAAGTATCCAAGTCAGGTTGTTGCCCCACCTAGAATGGATTTCTTAACTGGCACAAGATCATTGATGAAAAGGTCAAGTCTCGGGTCAAGAGAAACATCCACATCTGAAATTCTGAAACTAATCAGAGGTTCACGTAAAACTGACGAAGGGCAAAACTAAAGATTCTCTTTTGGTTTTGAATGGTTAGTTCACGTAAAGAAATGACTTACTCAAATAGCCTTTGTTATTTCAACACAGACCATCCCCAGCCTCCACGTATACCACATTAAATAGTAGAGAAATAATTTGCAATCTACATAATAAATCTCAAACTCCCTGGACTAACTAATACCCAAAGGCCCCCATTGGCTGACCTCAGACTGACTTCCTAACCACCCCTCAGCCATGTTTCTGGTGCTCCACCAAAACTAAACTACTCGCTAACCTTAGCCGTGACCCCTTTTCCCAACCTTCATGAGTTCACTTAGGCTATTTGCACTGCCCGGAGTATCTTCTGCATGTGCTGATCTTACACTTTCCAAGCATTGCCTCCCAAACAAAGCCAGTTTTATTTTTTATCTTCCATACACCCTGGATGAATCTCCCTCCATGGAACTCCTAAAGTGTTATCTCTTTAAACTGTGTGCTCACTTGACATTTTAAAGTGACATTTTAGGGTCCTGGCTGGCGTAGCTCAGTTGATTGAGCAGGGACTGCGAACCAAAGGGTTGCAGGTTCAATTCCCTGCACATGCCTGAGTTGTGGGGGCCAGGTGAGAAGCAACCACACATTGATGTTTCTTTCTCTCTCTCTCTCTCCCTCCCTTCCCCTAAATTAATTAATTAATTATTTTTTTAAAGAATCTATAAAAAATAAAGTGACATTTTAGTAGTAAGGATTTATTATTATTATTAATTCTTGCTTCTATGGCTTCAAACTATTTTTTATCCTTTAGGTAATATTCGTACTTCTCTAAAACTAGTAAAAATAGTTCCATTTTACAGGTGAAGAGTCACATCAAGTGTACTCAGGCACAAAGGACCAGAATGTGGCTGATCTCAGCAAACGTCCTACATGCGCTTGAGAAGAACGCGCACGCTGCTTCGGTGGGTGAGGTGTTCCGTCAAAGTCAGCCACATAAACCACCAACAGAGACTTGGAAATGGAATTTTTAATATTTTTTTAAATCATATATATAAAATATTAGGAACAAGTCTCACAAAAAAGGTACAAGATCTATAAACTAAAACCTATAAAGCATTGCTGAAACCTAGATAAATGGGGAGATATAAAGTGGCCATGGACCAGAACATGATGTTTCTAAAATGTCAGTTCTCCTCAAAATGATCTATAGACTTTATGTTATCCTAATCAAAATTCCAGAAGGCTTCTTTGGAGGATAGAAATTGGCAAGTTGATTCTCAAATTCGCATGGAAATGCAACTTTGATAAAGAAGAATAACTTGGAAGACTTACTCCTGGACTTCAAGAGTTACTATGAAACTACAATAACCAAGATAATGTGACATTAGTGTCAAAACAGAAAAACAAATGAATGAAATAGAGTCCAGAAATACACCTGCATGTATACAGACAATTGATTTTTGACAAAAGTGCAAAGGCAATTCAATGAAAATATTCAATAATAATAATAAACTTTGACACATATCTCACACCATATGCAAATGTGACTAAAAATAGATTATGTATAAAATTTACAGCTGCAAAACATATTTAAAAAGCAGAGGAGAACATCTCTGTGACCCTGACACAGGCAAAGAGTTCTCAGATATGACACTGAAAGCACAATTCAGCCCTGGCTGGTGTAGCTCAGTGGTTTGAGCATGGGCCTACGAACCAAAGGATTGCAGTTTGATTCCCAGTCAGGGCACATGCCTGGGTTGCAGTCCAGGTACCCAGTAAGGGACACATGAGAGGCAACCACACATTGATGCTTCTCTCCTATTCCTTCTCCTTCCCTTCCCCTCTTTCTAAAAATAAACAAATAAAATATTTTTAAAAAGAAAGAATGATCCAAAAATAAATAATTAACAAATTATACTTCATCAAAATTATGGACTTTTTCCCATTAAGAAACACTTAGAATGAAAACTACAGTTTAGAAGAAAATACATGCAAGTCAGTATCTGTTAAAAGACTCTATCCATAATACAGAAAGTCTCTTAACACGCAACAGTAAGACAAAAACAGTCCAACTTTTAAATGGGCAAATCATTTGCTCAGAAACTTTACCAAAGAAAATGCAGTGTCCGGAACAAATAATGCCTTTTTTATTACAAAATCTTTTATTACAAAATCATAAGCATGTATTTCTGTGACATAACAATACCACACTCATGCAAGCCTTCCTTCTGCTGCACACTGTATATAGAAAGAAAGTGTCACAGTTTCTATTGTGTCATAGAAAGACACAATATTCTTAGTCACTAAGAATAAAACTTAAAATTGCAATGAGATATGACTGTATACTTATTAAATTGTCAAATGAGAAAGACTGACCTTAACAAGTGCTGGTAAGGGTGTGGAACAACTACAATTCCTCTGCCACCGGTAGAAATGTGGAGTGGTACAACTACTTTGGAAAACAGGTTGGCATTTCCTTAAAAACTTGCAGCTGCATCTGCCATGTGATCCAGTCATTCCACTGTGAGGTATTTGCCCAAAAGAAACTAAAGTTTATATCCACACAAAACTTATACAGGAATGACATAGCATTTTTATTTGTAATAGCCAAACCTAGATTCAATCCAAATGTTCAAGGCAAATATATAAACCAATTTTGATATATACATACAATAAAATACTACCCGGACCAAAAAAAAAGTAAAATAAACTATTGATACACTCGGCAACATGACGGATGCATCGCACAATAACTGCAAGAGAAAAGGCCACGCGAAAATGGAATATATGCTGCATGGTTCCTTTTAGACAGAAGTACACAAAACGAAAACTAAGCTGTGGTGACAGTAAGCAAAGTCCTGAATGCGACTACACTGGGAGATGAACAGGGTGGGAGGGAGAAATTACTATGGTGCTCAAGGAAACTCGGGGGGCAGGGGGTGCTCATTTTCTTGACTGTAGGGATGACTGCATGGGTGTCCCCCTGCCAAAACTTAACAAATGTGTAGACTTTCATTCCTATAGCTACTGGGTATCAATCATACTTCAGTAAAGTTGTTTCCAAATTTCTGAAGGTAACTCATAGGGTAAGCTTAATTTTATTTTAAATAACATGTGTGAGCACTTAGAATTGTTTAACTCCATGAGACTATCTCAACCCTCTATTACAGTCATCACATTTGACATTTTTTAAGCTAGGTCGGCTCTTCTCCCTAATATACGCTATCATACAAACCAAGAAGTGTATGTGGTAGTATCTCTCACAAATGGCCGCAATTAGTTATTTGACCAATGGTTCTCTTCCCAAGACAGCAGAGATAGTATCTGTACCCTCGATTATTCCATCCTGAGGTCCTGGTGCTAGTAAATGCTCAGTAAGTATTTCTTGAATATAATGTCTTTGACCTGGTCTCCAGGTAATAAAAAGCAGACTGTTCATCCATCCCATGACATATGCTAAAATGTAAGAGATGATTTTTGCTCTCTAGGTTTCTTTTCTTCATTTTCCCATTCACTGTATCAATATTCATTTAAGAAAAAAATTCAATATTTTAAAACATGAATCTTTGTTGAGTATATTAGACTCTAATATCTGTTCGTAAATTATCTGGGAGAAACAAAGACAAATGTTGTGGCATCATTTTCAGTTATTTTTAATGATAAGTTGTGATACCTATAATGAATATATGAATATCAGCTTTGTACCTGATTGGTTACTAAACTGGCATTTTGTGCATCAAATAAAGGAAAGCGATTGTATAAACCTAAGGAAGACAGATTATATCATGAGTAATGATCTCCTAGTGGAACTTGAAAGCTCCCTTTGGGGTTGGAGCCTCTAAGCTAGAAGGTTCCAGAATCCATTCACACAGATGCAGGAGAGAATGGATTCCCCAACCATTATTCAGCATCTTAATTATGAAAACATTCAAACCCAATATTAGTACAACAGTAGTATTTGAAGAAAGGAGAATGAATACATCTTTTTCCCCTCACTCATTCCCCAGATGCTTATTACAAAGCTTCTGGATTACCACTTCTGGTATCCCTTACCAAGCATTTTAAATGAAAAAGTCTCTATTTTTGAAAGCCTTGTTTCAATAGCCATCAGACAGCTACTGCTGGCTGCTACCTCCAAAGCTCAGAGCAGCCAAGAGAGACACGGGGCAACATGTCAGAAAAACAGCTAAAGGAAAAAGCAACTACAAAGGAAAATTCATTGTCTTCCTCATGGCACACCTTGGTGGCAGCACCTAGCAGGGCCTCTTCAGGCCTCCCCTCTCTCACTTGGTACTTTAGAGAAACAAGCACCTTTTTTGTCAGCAAAGAAACACTGTGGGCACAGACCTTGGCCTTAGATATTTTTTGCAGACATTCAAAGGGTTAGATCAATAGTATACTTTCGGCTCCTGTCATGGTTGGAGTTATCGAGCACCCCTCCTTCCTGTGACTTCTACGCAGTTACAAAGTCTGCTTCTACACTCTATAAATCGTCTCCTTTCTTCTTGACCTCACTATTATTACCTTAATTCAGGCCCTCTTTATCTCTTCTCCAGGTACAATTTAAGACCTTTGGATGTCTTTTTTTTTTTAATTTTTTAAAAAATATTTTATTTATTTATTTTTCGAGAGAGGGGAAGGGAAGGAGAAAGAGTGGGAGAGAAATATCAATGTATGGTTGCCTCTCGTGCGTCCCCTGCTGGAAACTGGCCTGCAACCCAGGCATGTGCCCTGACTGGGAATCAAACCGCGATACTCTGGTTCACAGGCCCGCACTTAATCCACTGAGCTACACCAGCCAGGGCCTGGATGTCTTAAACATTGAGAAAAATTTGGGTTCCTCCACCCTTACATACTTATAAAATAAAAAGCTTCCAGTACATAAACATGAAAGTAGCTTCTTCCTAGATTTTTCTTTTTTTTTTCTTTCTTTTTTTAATTTATTTTTCGAGAGAGGGGAAGGGAAGGAGAAAGAGTGGGAGAGAAATATCAATGTATGGTTGCCTCTCGTGCGTCCCCTGCTGGGAACTGGCCTGCAACCCAGGCATGTGCCCTGACTGGGAATCAAACCGCGATACTCTGGTTCGCAGGCCCACGCTCAATCCACCGAGCTACACCAGCCAGGGCCCTAGATTTTTCTTTAAAATCTTGATAAGTTTAGTTCTGTTTCCATAGATACATTTGTCTAGAGAAGACACTTGCATTGAGTTTTAGAAGATAAATAGGAATAGCTAGATGAAGAAGGAGAAAAGGACTCCCAGAGGGAAGAGCATGGGCTAGGGCACTTTGCGGTAAAGCAGGAGGGTGCATTCATTCCCTGGTGCATGGTGAAGGGGGAGCTTGAGAACCAGGATAGAAACTTAGACAAGCTATGTGCTGAGCTAACTTTATCTTCCGGTCTATGGTGAAGCCAATGATGAGTTTTAAAATTTATAATACCTTCAGGTACTCCAAACCTCGTTCTGTTACTTTAGGTGCATCGGAGATCTATTGCAACTTTCAAATGCAAAAAGAAAACAAAAATAAAGCAGCAAAACCAAACCAAAGGAATCTAGTTTATGCAAGCTAATAGCCATGATTCTGAAAACTAAGTTTGCACCTGAGGTTTCTTTCAGATTCTGTTCCCTCAGAGTTCTTCCTAGTGGTCTCCAAGGCCCAGGAACCATTTTTTCTCTTGTGCCTCCTCATATTCCCTTGCTTTACTCAGGGCCAAGGTGAAAGACCAGTTTGAAATCTTGTTGACCATTCTTAGAGCCTCTCATACAACCTGGTTTCCATCTCAGGGACTGGCCCACCCTCACTTCCTACCTCCCACCTTCAGTGTAAATCCTTTTGAGGGGTGGGTTCCATTCCATGTGCCTCAGGAGCCCCTTGGGCTACAGGAGGAAGGAACTGCTGCTCCTTCCTCACACAGGGAGTAGAAACACAAAGAATAAGACTTTCATCACTCAGCAACCTGGACACGCATATATCAATATGTTAAGGGCTGAATTATGTCCTCAGAAATCCACATGTTGATGGTTCTAACCCCCAGTACCACGGAATGGGACTGTATTTGGAGACAGGGTATTTGAAGAGTTCATTAAGTTAAAATGAAGTTATTATGGTGGGCCCTAATGTAATTTGGCTGGTATCCTTATAAGAAGAGGAATTCAGGGCACAGAGTCACAGAGGGAAGATCCCATCTGAACATTCAGGAAACAGATGGCCTACAAAAGCCAAGGAGAGAAACGAACCCTCCTGACACCTTAATCTCAGACTCATAGCTTTCAGAACTATGAAAATTTAAGGACTTCCAGCCAAGATGGAAGCATAGATAGATATACTTTGCCTCCTTGGACAACCAAAAGAAGAACAATGAAAGTTAAAAACAAAAAAACAACCAGAGCTACCACAAAATTGAACTATATGGAAGCCTGACAAGCAAGGAAGTAAAGAAGAAACATTCATCCAGACTGATAGGAGGGGTGGAGACAGGCAGTTAGGGTGGAGAGGACTCATAGCAAGGCAGTGGCTGGCAAACTGGGCAGCAAGATGGCAGCTGGCAGACTACAGCCTCACATTTGTGTGTGGATAAACTGGGAGGAACAAGTGGGGAGCAAGACAGACTGCACAACCCAAGGTTCCAGTGCAGGGAAATAAAGCCTCAAAACCTCTGGCCGTAATGACCTGTGGGAGTTACTTTTCCAGCCACACAGGAGAGTTTGTTGGAGAGACTCACAGGATCCTAGAATGTACACAAGCCCACCCACCAGGAATCAGCACCAGAAGGGCCTAATTTGCTTGTGGGTAGTGGGGGAAGTGACTGAAACCTGGCCGAGTGCTGAGCAAGCAGCACTGTTCCCTCTCTGACCACCCCTCTCCACATACAGCACCATGGATTTCCAAGCCCTGGTGAATACCTAAGGCTCCACCCCTTACAACGTAACAGGAGTGCTGAAACAAAGAAATATGGCCCAAATGAAAGGATGGATCAAAACTCTAGGAAAAGAACTAAGCAATGAAGACATAGCCAACCTATCAGATGCAGAGTTCAAAACACTGGTAATTGGGATGCTCACAGAAATGGTTGAGTATGGTCTCAAAACAGGGGAAAAAGTGAAGGTTATGCAAAGTGAAATAAAGGAAAATGTACAGGGAACCAACAGTGATGGGAAGAAACCAGGACTCAAATCAATGATTTGGAGCAAAAGGAAGAAATAAGCATTCAACTACAACAAATTGAAGAAACAAGAATTCAAAAAAATGAGGAGAGGCTTAGGAACCTCCAGGATGACTTCAAATGTTCCAACATCTGAATCATACAGGCTCCAGAAAGAGAAGAGGAAGAGCAAAAAATGAAAAACTTATTTAAAAAAATAATGAAAGAGGACTTCCCTGATTTGGCAAAAGAAATAAACTTCCAGGACCTCAGAGTCTCAAAGATTTGGACTTAAGGAATCACACACCAGGGCACTTAATTACATTACCTAGTTTAAAGATAAGGAGAGAATCTTAAAAACAGCAAGAGAAAAGGAGACAGTTACCTACAAAGGAATTCTCATAACACTATCAGCTGATTTCTCAAAAGAAACCTTATAGGAAAGAAGGGGCTGGAAAGAAGTACCCCATGTCATGAAAGTCAAGAACCTACATCCAAGATTGCTCTATCCAGTTAAGCTATCATTTAGACTGGTGTGGGGGCGACTTCTTCTCAAGTCCCCCCAATTGCCACAGATGAGGGTGAATATAACCAATATATGATGTGATCTGCTTGGGGAGGAGAAGTGAGCAGTGGCCAGTTTCACAGGGGGAAAAAGGCCAGCTGTGGCCAGTTTCTCCAAGGAGAAATAGGCCCCTAGCCCCCTCCTCCAAAGCTTTTATTGGGTTCTAATACACAGAAATACAGGGCAGCAAGGATCAAACAGTAGATAACATTTCAAAGAAATCTGAGGGCTTACTATGAGTCCGAGTCTGTCAGGAACAGAGTTTTAGAGTTTCCTGCTTGAATCCTTAACATATGAATGAAAGCACTCTTAGCAGAGCAGATTTCACAGGTTTATCAGGAAGTCTTTGTGATGCCAGATTTTTCCCTAAAACACACTTTAGCAAGGCAAGGAGCTGCACCTCTCCCCAACAGATATTCAGGCTTAAGGGGATTAGAGCCAGGAAGCACTTCTCCCAGAGAACATGGGGACTCAGGCTTTGTCAAAGCCGGGGGCGAGAGTCCATTGCTCTGTGTTGCAGCCCCCTGAGTCCTTCCATGAAGGCCTCCCAGGGGATTGAGTCTGGCTTAGGTTGCCCCCTGCTGTGAGGGGTCTTACTCATCATTGACTTCCAATCAAGCTTTGGGGGCAGGGAGAGGAACTGAGGCAGCATTTGCTACCAGAGACAGGCTTTGTCTCCTGCGGCTGGCACTCCAAAGGTTGTCCCTCGCCCTTAGCCACAAGGGATTGATATACAATTCCTAAAACCAGGCAGAGCAGTCTACAACAGACTGGAAGGGTAGATAAAGTGCTTCCCA